TTATAATGATGTATTTGAAAATGTAAGAATAAAAGTTCCATGCAAGATCAAATATTAATCCATGCACTTGTTTGAAAATGAGAAACAAAATGTTGAATTATATGTTGTGATTGTTGTTATTTTGTGTGTGTTTCTACTTCAGAAATATTTGAATTATATACATGTATTACACCCTTTCAAAAGATTCTAAATGAATGTAGAAGTGCAATGGTTCATGGACAAATGCAACAAACAAACAACATTCAAAACAGTCTTGTTTTTCAAATTCGTTTCAGCGGTAACTGGTTACCAGAATGCAGTAACTGATTACCCAGTGCAGGTAACGTTAAAAATTTGAAATGCTGAAGCCTGTAACCAGTTACCAGAAACCTGTAACCGGTTACCACTATATGAAAAAGTGAAATAACATTTTTAATGACTTGGAAATGCAATTCTAGTTATATTAAAAGCCATGAAACATGTATGCATAATGTTAGACATATTTTGAGCACTATAGTAACATACTATATTGAATTCGAGTCTTGTGCCATAATGAAGATCAAATACCAAAGTCTTCTTTAGGAGTAACTTAGCATGCAAGCCAAAAGTTCATTTTGAGTAGATACTTTTTATTCTTCTTTTTTATAATTCCTTTTGCCTTGATCATGATGTTTGTAATCATCAAAACATAAACTTGCTGAAGCATGACTCTACAATGCTCACATTAGGCAAGACAAGGTTGAACCTAGAGCTTTGAAATGCATGTTCACAGGATACCCTGAAGGAGTCAAATATTATAGGCTATGGTGCTTAGATATAGGTCACGGGAGGATTATCACCAGTCGAGATGTAGTTTTCAATGAAGCTCAAATGGCTCTAAAGAAAATAATGATGTTGATCGAAGTGCAGAAATATTTGATGAAGAGCTAGAATAGGAAGAGATTCCTGTTGAGGTGGAGCATGTTGATGGTGAATTGTGTATCCCGAGTAAAGTCGAAGAAGAAGCAGAAGATGCTGAGGAAGTTGAGGAAATTGTCTATGACTATCTATTGGAAAAAGATAGGACGAGAAGAGTCATCAAGCCACCTCAGAGATTTGGGTATGCAGATTTGATAGCTTATGCCTTAATCTCTACAAGTGAGGTTCTAGACAAAGAACCTAGAGTCTATAAGTAAGTTATGAGGAGTCGAAATAAGACTGAATGGATGAAGGCCATGGATGATGAGATGTATGCAGTTGATAAAGCTGCATGAAGAAAGCTAGTTGGTTCTCTGATAATAGAGTTTGTTCCAAGGTGGAGATTTATGAGATATTGAATCTAACTCTGTTGAGTCGAAGAGTAGCTTTTGGTTCGACAGGATTTATGCATTTCGTCGAAGTATGGTCACATACTGGTGTCGAAGACCCACATACTGTAGTCGAAGTGTTTTCTAGTATGTGGGTGTCGAAATTCTAGGGTTGTTAGTATTTCGAATTGAGCCTGTTTGTTATGTCCAATTGTTTAAGTTAGCTTGTATCCTAAGTTAGCTTGTAATGGGTATTTGTGAAAAAGCCCATTAGTTTAGTATGTTAGGTTTATTATAAATAGCATACTAGTCTCTCATCATTGCGTACTGCAAATCCTAATTTAGGGCGAGAAGGTTATTTGTTATTCTTGTAACACTTGTAATCTTGATTTAAGAGAAAGTTAAAAGTAAAGAATGACAGTTATAATCAATCTTTGTTGTTAATCTTGTTTATTATTTTTTTCTACCCTTGAAGGTTTCCCTCTAATAAGGAAACCTATTATATTTTGTTTCCAAGACATCCTTTTTCACAACATAATATATAAGTGCTATCGAAGAGGCAAGTTCATGGGGTTCTGGTCATTTTCTTAGGAAGTTGTTTGTTATCATGCTTCTTTCTGGAACCATCAACAGACCAGTACAAGTATGGAATAAAACTTGGACATTCTTAGCTGATGGTATTTTGCACTTCCAAAGAACAGTCACGGATAACTCAGGTGTTGATTTAAATTGCATTCATTTTCTACCACTATCTTATACATGTACAATTATTGGTTACTACATTTAAAAATTGAACATTACTTTTCTGCACCTTTAACCAATTTGTATATCACCTAACAAAGCTGATATTGAGTGACGAAGATTTGCGTAATTTAACATTAATTGAGATTAAAAAACTACCTCAATCAAATCAGAAGAGTCTAAAATATTTCAAACTAATATTGTATCTAAATGGTTATGTACTTCAACAACTTGGCAATCGACTCATATATGAGGAGAGAAGATATGATGTTGCAAACATGAAATATGAATTCCTTGCTCTTTCTAATGCGCTGACAAATTACTACATCTCCTCAAAAATTTAGCCATGCATATTATCTAACTCAATTAAATTCATTGTTATTTTCTATTCCTTTTATAGTTGAGCAGCGGGGCATATATGACAAAGTCATGTTGGTTTTTGCCAATCAAAAGAGTGGAGTTTTTTCTTACATGGTTACGGTGGTACTGGGAAAACATACATGTGGAAAACACTTGCAACATATTTAAGGTTGAAACATGAAATAGTTTTAATCGTTACCTCCATTGGCATTGCATCACTATTGTTATCTGGTGGTAGAACTGCTCATTCTAAGTTTAAACTACATGTCCCCACCTTGGAAAACTCTGCTTGCAATATAGAATGGAATAGTGACCATACCGAAATACTTTGGAAAACATCCTTGATTATTTGAGATGGGGATCCCATGGCAATAAAATTATATTTTGAAGCTCTTGATAAAACTTTAAAAGATGTAATGAGTCCTTATAGCAACTCTGATCAACTATTTGGTGGTAAATTTGTAGTTTTTGGTGGAGATTTCAGACAAATTTTTCCCGTTATGCCCAGAGGGAATAGATCTGATATTGTTAACTCTAGCATAAATTCATCTTAAATATGGCATTATTGTGAGGTTTTGACTTTAACAAGAAACATGTGTTTGCAAGGGGGTCATAACGATGCAGAAAAAAGGAAATTGTCGAGTTCTCCGCATGGCTTTTAAAACTGGGGGGAAGGCAAACTTTCTGAGCCAAATAATGGTTATGCAGATATCGATATTCCATGTGACATTCTAATTGAAGAATTTGATGACCCTATTGTTACAATTGTAGATAGTACTTACCCTGCATTTATGGAAAATTACAAAAGTTTTTATTACCTTAAAAATTTCGAGTTATCCTAGCATTTACAATTCAAGTAGTTGGTCAAATTAATAATCATGTCCTTGAAATGATGTCAGGTAACATTTTTATATTTCTACCTTTATGGTATAAAAATAATTCCATTTCTTTATTTTAACTTTTATCTTAATTCATTATATAAAGTACTAAAGTTGTTTTTATATAAGAGAAACCAAAGAATGTTATAGCTCTAATTCAGTTGATAGATCAGAAATCCATGAAAACTCGATTATTGAGATTCTTAGTCCCGAGTTCCTTAGCTCTATCTGAATGTCTGGTTTGCCTAACCATGTCATTAAATTAAAGGTGGGTACTCCCATAATTCTAATGAGAAACATTGATCAATCTAAGGGTTTGTGCAATGGAACAAGATTAATTGTGACAAAGATGAGGAATCATGTCCTTGAAGCTGAAATTATGGGTTGAAAAGGCCATGCTAAAACGATATACATACCTAGAATGGATATGTCACCTTCACAATTACCATGGACTTTCAAATTAAACAGAATGCAGTTTCCAATAATTGTTTCCTACGCAATGAAAATAAACAAATCTCAGGGACAATCGTTGGATTGGGTTGGACTATACATGCAAAAAGATCTATTTAGTCATGGTTAATTGTACGTTGCAATCTCAAGGGTGGCGGGTTAATAAGGGATTAAGATCTTGATTGTTGATGACAATAAAAAACCCAAATCCTATACTGCTAATATGGTTTATAAAGAAGTTTTTGCAAACATTTAAAATGTATGCTTCTCTATTAATCTTCAATCTTTTCCATATTACCTCTTATTTTTACTACAGACATACAACTTATCTAAAGGGTTCATACATGCTTATATTTACTCACTTATTTTAACTTATGATTTTCTTTCATTCTTAACTCACTTGATTTTGTTTAATATGCAGATGCTGCAATGGACTTTCCAAACACTGTCATTATTTTTTGCTGCACTGTTATTCCTGTTTCATAGTCACTAAATAGTACTACAGTTTATTCCTTATCTAGCCTAAACTATACAATACTTTGGTTCATTCCTTCTTTAGTTTATCTTATGTTTGACAAGCTTCCAATGCCTCTAAGTGTGTCTCACAAGCAAGTAATTATAAGTTATTTTCAAGTCGCAAAATATATCATTTATTTTCTGAATACCTATAATTCAATTATATCCATGTAATACCTTACTAATCAAACATGTTTTTCATCCTATAATGTGATAATAACAAACATTGTAACTCCATAGCTTCCTTTTTAAATTAACATTAACTCACTGTAATACAACTAAGAATATATAAAACATCACTTCTACCTTACAGCTTCATCAACAAAACACACTTCTTATACACAGAACATAACACATTAGTCATACTTAGCAAAATTTATTATGCCTTTTTCATTAACCTAGCATGGTATAACTTAGTCTTCAAAATAACCTAACCATATTATTATTACATTTCATACTTCCAACCACCTAAATCCTTACAAAAACATTTTTCATTTATATGAATCCAAACCAAATCTCCACTTCCCATGAGTATTTAGGAACTTCTCCCGCTTCGCCATGAGAACTACAAATATTTATTAAAAATAATCACATTCAACATTTCTTTACATGTTATTATCATTTGATACATAACTATCATACATGGAAATTTCCAAACCATATTACACACCATTTTATTGATTTTAATCAATATATGGACAACTGATATTTCTACTAAATTAACACTAAAACAAACCAAGTATTGAAAAACTTTTTCAATGTTGTACTATAAATAATATTAAACATACATTTACCTTCCATTTTCTCCACCGATAACTGCTGTATCGTCCAAAATAACTTCATCACTAACAACGTTGCCTTCCTCAACATGATTTTCATCTATATTTGCAGGTTGTTTACCTTTGCCAGTTTCGGGACTTCTATTAAATTCTTCGGAAAACAAATCCTTTGAGCTGCGATTGGTCATATCGTGAACACTTATATGAGGACATCAGATATGCAAATATGTAATACATGCATGCATATTCTAATTAACTTTTACTATAAAACTATTTCACTACAAAGAAAGATTTATTCTGCCATTTACCGCTAAGAAATACATAACAACTATAGCACAATCATACCCGGATGAATAAGTTGATACCACATACATCTTCTTATTTAGTTTACGAGCTTCACTGGACGAACCCATGTCTTCTCCTTCATTTTTCGCCTTATCCCCTAAACAGACCTCGGTTTTAGCTTCCTCTTTTTGTTTGAGATTCAATGGAGAGATGTCACTCTTTTACAATTTCGCGAAAAAAGGTATGAATGCTCTTTCCTTTCAACTCTCTTTGGCGCTCCATTTCTTCCATTGATCTGCAAAAAACACATAATAACATCATAATGTGTTGTTGTTGTTGCACCCCAAAATTTACCTTTCTAATTTCTTTTATTTGGCTTAGACGTTTGCCCTCATCTGTATATATTCCATTAGGTCTTTAGCGTCACATGCATTGCATTCAATAAAAGCACCTAAGGTGCAAAGGTTCAGTGGTTGTGCAATATAAGGGTTTTACACTGGTTAAGGCGCTCGTATCCAATAAAGGTTGATTTCTTCTTCAATATTGAGTAGTAGAATTAGGGTTGTGGTTTGTGGTCATTAAGAATCTCTTCTTCGCGAATCTATAAGGCTAATCTCCATCCAGTTTCATCGGTTCAAGAGATTATGGTTTTTTTCCCTATGTATCTCGTGGAATCAGAGTTTTATCACATGGACGTCTTTCTATGCTCCCAGTTTCGTCTGAGTCAAAGGATTTCCTCAAGAGCATTAGTGTGTGTTAAGGTCATTGGTTTGTAGGTTACTTGTTAAGCGAAGCTTAAAGATAAAGTCATTTGAAATTTAGAGTGCAAACTATAGCTTGAGAAATGGGCTTGTGATTTCTTTGAACTAAAACGATTTGTGTTGCTTGATTTGGATATGTTCGTTGGAAAACGAAGTGGATTTCAAGGCTAATCGAATGTCATCAATCATTTTGGTCATTAAATTGTCAAAAAGGTCAATTTAAGAAGATTGGAAAGCAAAGGCGTGTGGATTGTTTGGAGTTAAAGTTACAAGTCGCAAAGTTCAACATACATCATTGATTCATTCACAACTCATCATCATAGTTCGAATGTTGCATATCATTCGTCATTTACGTCCTTTAAGTTCAACATCTCAACATTCATTATTCAATGTTCACTCAAAGGTTCATCACCATTCAACCATAATTTTTTCTAAGTATCATGCAAAGACTTTCAAGCAATTCATCTCAAATTTACAAATCCATATTCATTCCAATTCTATCATAAATTACATTCCAATTTCTATCCATTACAAAATTACAAAATTGAGAACTAGAACACATGCACTTTCAATCATATTCGAAAGTCCATTGCATGGTACATTGCTACAAGGTTCAATTGTAATAATATTAAATACATCACAAGATGCACAAGCTCTCATCATGACCAAGCTGCAACTTTGCTTTTATGCTTTCAAAATGCTTCATGTCCACAATTCAAGCTACGCCATGTATTTGCTCATGCGATCATCCAATTAGTCATATTAACACCTTGTATTCATGCTAACATCAACGTGACCATGGCCTGCACATTAACATAAAAAATATATGAAATTAACCTTTAACCAAAACTAGTTCAACATCAAAATAACCCTTCGTCTAACTATGACCCAAACCATCCATAAAAACCAGTTCAGCCTGCACCAACTATCCAAAAATCCAATCAATGCATTTGAACAGTGTAGCAAATTCAGTTTAAAATGCCTACAAATCAGCATATAACAAAACTGAAATCCTGCACATGAAAACAAAATAGAATCCTAAGGCTCTTTTCATGCTATATGTCAAACTCCAATTCAATGCTTTGTCTCACAAGTCTCATGTCCATAACCGTTTCACCATTCAAGCTACGCACCGACCAACCCTGCGCATAAAAACCAAAAATCAGTTAACCAAGTTAATGGTTGCAGCCCGACATTCGACAGAAAAATGAGGCCACACAATGAATCTCGAACAGCTTTGCACTCACACTTACCTACATTCTTTGAGCTTCAATCATTTGTAGCCACATACTGCAAGCGGCTCACCAATATGCAGTGCTTGTATACCTACTGTTGCCATGTTATTGTCCCATACAACAAATAGATCACATCAATCCTACAGCTTGGATAAACAAATCAGCAGAATGCAAAAGCAGAGGAATTAAACTCAGGCTTCAAAACAAGAAAAAAAGAAGAACCAACTCCATAATAGAGAAATTGCAGAAAAACGGTTAAATAAGAATAGGGGAATGGTTAGTAGTACTAACCATACTGAAAGATATGCTGATTCAGTTATCGCACAAGTAAATAATTGTCTTCCTCATTTTTGCAAAGAGATTCAAAATTCCAATGCCTCGTTTCTTGACGCTTGTCAGCAGTACAACCACAGGAAAATAAATAGAAAAGAATATAAAAAAGGCTAGCTCTTTCTAACAATTTTGGCTAAAATTTAAAACAGAATGACAACGACAATAGTGAGAAAAAAACTCTTTATTCCCCTCTCTTCTTCCATCTATCATTCTTCAATCTATGCATCTTCTTCAACCTTTTTTCCACCATCTTCTCGTATCATCATCAATATTCAATATTCTGCATAAAATCAAAAGACCAGAAAAATTCTCTGAAATTCCCTCTTCTTCCTCTCCCTGCATTCACTCTCATGTTTCTTCATCACCTTCATACCACAGATCTTCACGCCCTCTTCATTCTTCAAACTGCAGAAGAATTACAAAGTTAGAAGAAATTATCTCTTCATGATAACCGCATCTTCGATCACCTTCGTCTTCATCTCTTTCTCGGAACCGTATCAACACCTTCTTCACCAACCTTCAATCTTCACACTTTGCATCTTCAAAGTTCATCATCCTCTTCATCTGCAAGCACAACAACACACGAATAACATGACAATTCACAAAAATCAAAAAGATGTTTGAAGAAGAAGAGAAGAATTTTTTGATGCTTCATTTTTAGCTCTGACAGGATTACCGAAATGATTCTCGGTTTCGTAGGTTGGTAGTTTCGAAACTCTTGATTCTCCATTCTTCTTCGTCAATCTTGATGCCACATGATAGCGTATAGAGAATAAGAACCAAAACCCTAGCGCTTCAAGCGTCAATTCCTCACCATTATGGCTCGATTTTCGTTCTGAATCCCATAGGTCTTTTCCTCACATCTCTATTTTATATAAGAGGTAAGGATTTGAAGGATGAGGCCGAAGAGTTGTGTGTTTGTAGTGGTCGGATTTTGATACCGGGGCGGTGGTTTGAGATCGAAATCGCCGGAGAAGATGAGGTTATCACCGCCTATTGGAACAAGAAGAAGAGAAGAAACGGTCTCGTGAAGCTAAAGCGTTATAACCTTAATCCTATTTGTTTTTTTATTTAATTCATTCTTTTCTTTAGTTTTTAATTTAATAAGTAAAATCTGAAACAAAGAAAATCTTGAAAAATCTGGTTTGGATGTTGAATTCATGGTGGACCGATTTCACATATCTCCCTTAGGTCCATTGGTTTTTGTAATCCATGTTGGTAGTAAGAATAGGCTTTTTAGACTCTATACGTTTGGGCCTAGTTCTCGATCTCCTTGTTATTCCAGATCCCCTGATTTCAACTTAACACCCCCCTGAGTTTATTCTTTTAGTATGTTCTTTTAAATAATTTTGATAATTGTTTAGTTTTGTTTGAACTTTTTCTTTACATGATAAAAAATAATAAAATCGAATATAAAAACTTGTAGATTTTTTATTTTAGTTTTAGGAAATTAAATCCTGATTATCCGATTATATTTTAGATTGGTAATTCACCTTTGTTGAGATTTGAGTCTTACGCAGGTTTATTGTGCGATATGCGGATGCGCTTGAGATTTCGATTTTGATTTATTTTCACATCGATGATGCTTCTACACTTATTCTGTGCGTTTGATTTTTGACTCTTTTCTTGGATTGGTGAAGCTTTCGCGAAGATCTTTGGGTTTCTTTGTTTTGATGCTCTTTGCTACGGATTGATATTCGTTTGGTATTTTCTCTTGTTTATCTCATTTTGCACTTTACTGCTTTCTAGATATCATGAGAAGTAGGAAATAAAGAGTGTGCGCTCGAAGTCATTGTTTAAAGACCTGTAGCAGGAATTTCGCACTTCATTTGCTATATGTGTTGTGTTTGTGTTTGTTTACTTTCTTGTTGATCGATGAGTCACTCAATTTAGAAATTGAGATCACGACTTCGCTCTCAGTGCATGCTCCCTATAGGATTTTATCGCTTTCCTTTATTTCTTGTTGATCGATGAGTCACTCAATTTAGAAATTGAGATCACGACTTCGCTCTCATTGTATATTCCCCATATGATAGTTTTGTTAGACTTTCTTTGGTATGCTGGCCTAGATAGGATCTCTCTAGGTGTGCTCTCTTGAGCTTATTGGCTTGCTTGTTTGATTTCATCTTTGTGTGCATGTTTTGAGATGATATACCCTCGGCATGTTCCCTTATGAGCTCTCGATTCAACTATAGATGATGATTCGAGATATACATAATTTTAGGTGATAGACCCTTGCTATGCTCCTTTAGGACTTCTTGATTCATTTATAGATGATGATTTGAGATAGACATTAGGATTGTTATCCAAGCATGTCAACATAGGGTAGAGATTTCCCTTTTATCCTCAACCTTAGGATCAACCATTGTATGATAACATTAGGGATAGATTTATGTTAGTCTCCCTTAGATGTTTTCCTTTCTTTTGCATCCATGTATTAAGACTAAAACTTTTCTTTCTTTTTCTTAAAAAAAAGCATAAAACATCTAACAACTTCTAAATCCTTCTTTAAGGTAAAAGATATCAACCAATACAAACTCTTTTGCGCCTTCGGGTTTTTCTTTTAAACTTTTCAAAAAGACCATGTTAATTCACTTATGTGCTGACGCGTGAGTCTCCAAAGGTCGAGCTGCAGCAGAAGGCGAAATTAATATTGTTCATTAAAAAATACAAACCAACAAAAACATGTGATCCATACTACGGCTGCTTTGATTCCTTAAAAGGGATACATAGGCATTGGGGTAGGGCTCGAGCGAGCATAACTTTTTTCCCTACATTCTTTTCTTCTTTCTTTTGCATGCATTCTCTGTACAACTTAGATATAGATCCTTACACACCCTTTTACTAGAACAACAAGAGCGGATACCATAGAGTACTACGGGCGTGTGGGGTGCTAATACCTTCCCCTCGCGTAACAGACTCCCTTACCCGATCTCTCGTTCGTTAGATCGTGATTTCACCTTTCTCAGGTTTACTCGATGTTTACCTTTCCCTTCTTGTGGGATAAAAAACGTTTGATGGCAACTTCATTGATTTCATTATCAGTTGATTATTCAGCCGGTTGTTTCAGTTGTATAACACGATTTTTCATTAACATGCAGAGTAAAATTTATTCTCTTGTATATCCTACCTAATATATGGGGGGTAGAAGAACTGTTGGTAGCCATGTTTGGGAGCTGGAATGACCAAATTAACGTTTTCCTTATATTAAATGTTTCATTACCGCAAGACCAACCATATATCTCACTGATAACTCCAGTTCCCAATTATGGGCTGCCTTTTATATAAATTATGGACCACTTTCATGAATATCTTTTTATTCTCCTCTTTTCTTCCATCTATCATTCTTCAATCTCTGCATCTTCTTCAACCTTTTTTCCACCATCTTCTCGTATCATCATCAATCTTCAATATTCTACATAATCAAAATACCAGAAAAATTCTCTGAAATTCCCTCTTCTTCCTCTCCCTGCATTCACTCTCATCTTTCTTCATCACCTTCATCCACCTTCATACCATAGATCTTCACGCCCTCTTCATTCTTCAAACTGCAGAAGAATTACAAAGTTAGAAGAAATTATCTCTACATGATAACCGCATCTTTGATCACCTTCGTCTTCATCTCTTTCTCGGAACCGTGTCAACACCTTCTTCACCAACCTTCAATCTTCATACTATGCATCTTCAACGTTCATCATCCTCTTCATCTGCAAGCACAACAACACACGAATAACATGACAATTCACAAAAATCAAAAAGATGATTGAAGAAGAAGAGAAGAATTTTCTGATGCTTCATTTTTGAGCTCTGGCAGGATTACCGAAATGATTCTCGGTTTCGTAGGTTGGTAGTTTCGAAACTCTTGATTCTCCCTTCTTCTTCGTCAATCTTGATGCCACATGATAGCGTATAGAGAATAAGAACCAAAACCCTAGCGCTTCAAGCATCAATTCCTCACCATTATCGCTCGATTTTCATTCTGAATCCCATAGGTGTTTTCCTCACATCTCTATTTTATATAAGAGGTAAGGATTTGAAGGATGAGGCTAAAGAGTTGTGTGTTTGTAGTGGCTGGATTTTGATACGGGGGCGGTGGTTTGAGATCGAAATCGCCGGAGAAGATGAGGTTATCACTGCCTATTGGAACAAGAGGAAGAGAAGAAACGGTCTCGTGAAGCTAAAGCGTTATAACCCTAATCCTATTTGTTTTTTTATTTAATTCATTCTTTTCTTTAGTTTTTAATTTAATAAGTAAAATCTGAAACAAAGAAAATCTTGAAAAGTTTGGTTTGGATGTTGAATTCATGGTGGACCGATTTCACATATCTTCCTTAGGTCCATTGGTTTTTGTAATCCATGTTGGTAGTAAGAATAGGCTTTTTAGACTCTATACGGTTGGGCCTAGTTCCCGATCTCCTTGTTATTCCAGACCCCCTTATTTCAACTTAACACCCCTTGAGTTTATTCTTTTAGTATGTTCTTTTAAATCATTTTGATAATTGTTTAGTTTTGTTTGAACTTTTTTCTTTACATGATAAAAAATAATAAAATCGAATATAAAAACTTGTAGATTTTTTATTTTAGGTTTAGGAAATTAAATCATGATTATTCGATTATATTTTAGATTGGTAATTCACCTTTTCTTGTTGAGATTTGAGTCTTACACAGGTTTATTGTGCGATATGCGGATGCGCTTGAGATTTCGATTGTGATTTATTTTCACATCGATGATGCTTAGACACTTATTCAGAGCGTTTGATTTTTGACTCTTTTCTTGGATTGGTGAAGCTTTCGCGAAGATCTTCGGGTTTCTTTGTTTGGATGCGCTTTGCTACGGATTGATATTCGTTTGGTATTTTCACTTGTTTATCTCATTTTTCACTTTACTGCTTTCTAGATATCATGAGAAGTAGGAAATAAAGAGCGTGCGCTCGAAGTCATTGTTTAAAGACCTGTAGTAGGAATTCCGCACTTCATTTTCTATACGCGTTGTGCTTGTGTTTGTTTACTTTCTTGTTGATCGATGAGTCACTCAATTTAGAAATTGAGATCACGACTTCGCTCTCAGTGCATGCTCCCTATAGGATTTTACCGCTTTCCTTTATTTCTTGTTGATCGATGAGTCACTCAATTTGGAAATTGAGATCACGACTTCGCTCTCATTGTATATTCCCCATATGATAGTTTTGTTAGACTTTCTTTGGTATGCTGGCCTAGATAGGATCTCTCTAGGTGTGCTCTCTTGAGCTTATTGGCTTGCTTGTTTGATTTCATCTTTGTGTGCATTTTTTGAGATGATATACCCTCTGCATGTTCCCTTATGAGCTCTCGATTCAACTATAGATGATGATTCGAGATATACATAATTTTAGGTGATAGACCCTTGCTATGCTCCTTTAGGACTTCTTGATTCATTTATAGATGATGATTTGAGATAGACATTAGGATTGTTATCCAAGCATGTCAACATAGGGTAGAGATTTCCCTTTTATCCTCAACCTTAGGATCAACCATTGTATGATAACATTAGAGATAAATTTATGTTAGTCTCCCTTAGATGTTTTCCTTTCTTTTGCATCCATGTATTAAGACTAAAACTTTTCTTTCTTTTTCTTAAAAAAAAAGCATAAAACATCTAGCAACTTCTAAATCCCTCTTTAAGGTAAAAGATATCAACCAATACAAACTCTTTTGCGCCTTCGGGTTTTTCTTTTAAACTTTTCAAAAAGA